CACAGGCAAATATATAAACAAGGAAAAAGTGCATGTGCACACACAGGCAAATATATAAACAAGAAAAAAGTGCATGTGTACACACAGGCAAATATATAAACCAGGAAAAGGTATATATGCACATGCACACAGACAAATGCAAGGAAGGAAGGAAGGAAGGAAGGAAGGAAGGGAGAAAGGGAGGATGGAAGGAAGGAAGTGAGGGAGGGACGGAGGGAGAAAGAGGAGGAGAGATATAGGCCAGTGGGACAGCTCAGCATATAAAGATGATGACTAGCAAGCTTGATGCCTTGAGTTCAACCCTGCATCTTCTGTCTGATTTTCATACATGCTGTAGGAAAATGTAGAAAAATCCAGTTTTTAAAACATTTTAAGATGTATTTATTTTATGTGCATTTTGTGTGCATGCATGTCTGTGCACCACGTGTGCCATGTATCCACAGAGGCCAGAAAAAGGCATCTGATACCCTGGGACTGGAGTTATAGGTCATGAGCTACCATGGAGGTGCTTAGAATCAAACCCAGGTCTTCTGAAAGAGCAGCCATCTGAGCCACTTCCTCAGCCCTTAGATTTTTCTTTTTTTCTTTAATGGAAGAGGACGTGTTGAAATTTGTAACGTTAGGTAGAAGAAACAAGTCTAGGAAGATCAGTCACAATTAGGATCAGTTAACTCACTATTGGGAATATTTGATCTAGTAAGATTTTTTTTTTTAATTTGTGCTTAGTACTACAGTCTTTATTTTTGTGAGCTGAGGCAGGTTTAGTTGTAGTACTGGAGACGGGACTGACAGGTTCCTTTAGGTACTAAGTCTCTCTACCATACAGAACTTTGCACACTTGTATAATGTGACTTGAGAGGAAGGGCTCTGTCTCCCCTGAGTAGTCACTTTGCCCATGTTCCCTCTCAGGATCGCCGTGTTCTCTGTGACTGTGCTGCACGATGACCGGATTGTCTTGGTGGCTGAACAGCGGCCTGACGCTTCGGAGGAAGACAGCTTCCAGTGGATGAGCCGTGTGCTACAGGTGGGCATCCTGGCGTGGTCTCTGTCTTCAGCACATGGGGGCTTACAAGTGACAGGTAGTTAAAAGGGAGTCAGCTATAGATGCCGTGGAAGTCAGGGGCCACCGTCTTCACACAATATAGTAACTCACATTCCCGTCACTTGACTTCACATCCAGTTTGTACCTCTGTAAATACCATTAGCATTTCTTTAAAATTACTAATTTATGAATATAATTGTGTCTGACCACTGTTAAAAATTTCCTCAACTATCTAGTGGTTGTTTTGACGCAATCACAAGATCATAACTTATGATGGGTAGGGCCATGTTTTTTTTTTATCCTGTAGATACATGCCCCTGTCACTTTTGTGGCAAGTCTGAAGAAAACAGGCCATGGGGTAGCATTTCCTCGGTCTTACTTGACCATGCGTTTGTGTGTCTCCTGTCTTGTGTCTGTGTCTCTGGCTCCTGTGAGTGGATCTGGAGGCCTGTTTGGAGCAGGCCAGTTTTCTGGCAAGATTCTCTCGAAGGTAGCTGGGGAGCCTGGGCTCCTGTTTGTTGGCACTCTTATCGCCTGCACTTGTGATCTGTCGATTCTGTGGTAGTCACACTGTGACTTTTTCAACCACCTTTCTTCATCATTAACTAGAACATACAGGGAAAAAAAAAAAAGATGGTGGCTAGGTTCCAGATTAATGAATCCTCTGGGGGTGATCGCTGAGTTGACTTGTTGGTTTCATCATGAACTAGTGGGTTTAAATGACTGTTTCAGTGTGTTATAGCTATGACTATTATCATTCAGAGCTCAATGGGAGCCCCTTGATAAAGCCTGGGCTCTCTGAGGCCTTAGTAGAAACTGGTCGGCCAGACACAAGGGTACCCATCCTGTGTGGTCCTGAGTGGGGTATTAGAGGTCGCTGTCTGTGGACTTGACAGTCATCATCCTGAGCCCTTCTCAGAGGACAGAGGAGAGAATGGTCCTGCTGGCTTGTTTGTAAGGTTCTCTGTGTTCTGAATTTATGCTGAGAGTTCTTATTCAAACTCAAGACATTTAACTCGTTGTCCCCGATAATGTAGTTGCCAACAGTAAGTGTTATCCTTCATTGGCTTCTGGTCACCGGGCCCCAGTGTCTCACAGTGTGGCCTCCATGCTGAGCCAGACAGGCGAGCTGGGGGACAGCTCTCGTGGTTTTACAGTTCTCTTTCTTTTCATGCATCTCTCTGGACATCAACTAGCAAGACTGTTTAAAGCCACATTAAACTGGGGCTCTGAACTGTGCTACTAGCTAAGTTCTGATCGAGTACATTCTTTTTACTCTAGTTGTTAGGAATTGCTTTGTATCATTAAGTTGGCTGTATTTGAAAAATAGACATAATTCCAAGCCTAGGACGTGTAGCTTCTGTTGTTTTTGGTTCACCTCTTCCCAGCTGGAGGCCTCAGCATGCATTTGTGGCGCCTGAGCTTTGTGGTTTTGATACAAGCAGTTACATAGGTTTATATGTGTGTGTAAGGAAACTGTATATCTCATGTGGAAGTAAGCACTCTCTGTCTTCTTGGCTTGAGAGGACGTTTCAGAGGTCACCCACCTCTGGGACGTCTGCACTTCAGTTTTCTGTTCTGTGTGGTGTCCCTTCTGGCTCTTTGGGCTGGCAGCACATGCTCAGCAGAGTTTTTGCCTTCCAGGCCATCGACAGCATCCACCAGGTGGGTGTGTACTGTTTGGCCCTAGTTCCCGCCAACACCTTGCCCAAGGCTCCTCTTGGAGGGATTCACATTTCTGAAACAAAGCAGCGGTTTCTGGAAGGGACGCTACACCCATGTAACGTGTTGATGTGCCCTCACACGTGTGTTACCAACCTTCCCAAGCCTCGCCAGAAACAGCCAGGTTAGTACCTAACAGAGAGGCCATCTGGCCTTAATTGGTACTGGCTGCAGCAGGTATAGCTGCATTGGCTCTTGCAGGAGTCAGTACCCACCTCTTTGGGCCTGGGGTTTCGTTAAGGATCAGACTAGGTGTGTGCACCCGCTCCTGGTTCACAGAATGGGATGTTGCTGGAGCACCTGCCTGTTGGTGTCCACCTGCCCGCTAGGAGTCAGTTGTACTGGTACTTTCAAGGGTGGCTCCTTGGAGGTAGAATTAATGTCCATAAGCAAATGTGGGCTCTGGAATCCAAGGAGCCCCTGGTGGCCACCAGGTTTTTAGGAATAGAAGTTTCTCAAGGGTTAATTTCTTGTTTCTGATATAACACAAAAAACTAAATAGGCCAGTTTAACTAGCATATTCAGTTTGTCATTAATTTGTATATGAAAATATTTAGGAAAAGATAGCTTTCTTTTACTATTGAACACATAAGTATGTCACTAAGTATGACATACTTTAAGAATTACTGGTTTATACATGAAATAGAGTACAGCAATAAAGCATTATTTGGTTAGCATCCCAAGAACATGTTACATGGCATAGTTTATATTTGAGAGTGATCTGAATATTTACATTTAAAGAAAAGAGTTAAATACCAAGGTCTTGTGACAGTTATGGATCAGAAGTTCCCAGCTTTTCATTTGGAATCTGTTTGCAGAAGTTGGACCAGCCTCAATGATTGTTGGGAACCTGGTTGCTGGAAAAAGGATTGCGCAGGCCTCTGGGAGAGAGCTGGCCCACCTGGAGGATAGTGACCAGGCTCGAAAGGTACTGGGCGTCTCCTGGGGACAGGTGGCATTCAAGGCTGTGCAGGTGCGAGGCCTCCTCTCTCTGTGCAGTTCCTGTTCCTGGCAGACGTTCTGCAGTGGCGGGCTCACACCACTCCTGACCACCCGCTCTTCCTGCTGCTGAACGCCAAGGTGAGAGAGAGCTGGACTCTCCTTGTTTCTGTGGGGAATAGAAACCTTAGGTTTCTCTTCCTCTCTGGCATCTTGACAGACAGTGACTAATTGTCAGCGAAGATGTAGTCAGCTTGTGGGGAAGAGCCTCCAGATCCGTGGAGGAGAGAGAATCCTGAGTGGGAGCTCTGGTTCTGGCCAGGGACAAGAAGGCAGTGTCCTGCAGGCTCAAAGTGGCAAAGCCTATGACCCAGGTCTCAGGGAAAGGATTCAGGATTCAGATGAGTCCCAGGCATGAGGATTCTGGCTTTTCACAGTCTTTGGCTCTGTCAGGTATGAGTGAAGTACTCACCTTTCTAGGCTCAGATTGGGCCACTCAGAGATGCCCAGCCCCCCAACTACAAGCATCTGGCAGACCCAGGATTGCCCAGCGTTGATGTCACTCGATTGATCCCTGACCACAGGAGCCTGGTGTGCAGAGCAGATGCTGTCTAGAAGCGTCAGCACACCAATGAGCTCGATTCTTCTCCAGGGCACAGTCACCAGCACTGCAACCTGTATCCAGCTGCACAAAAGGGCTGAGAGAGTGGCTGCCGCTCTGATGGAGAAGGGACGGCTAGATGCTGGGGACCATGTGGCTTTGGTGTATCCTCCAGGTAAACGAGCACACGCAAGGCCCTCTCCTGACCTTCAGAAATGGAGCTCAACTCCTCCCTACTCTTGTGATGTCTGTGCTCCGTGAGCCCTCTGGGCGGGACCTCTGTTCCTAGTGGACTTGGCAGCTTCTTGGCCCTCAGGGTAGCAGGTGCCCAGGCCCGTCCACCTCCCCCTAGAGCTAGATTCTCACCCTTCCGCAGCATTTCAGATCAAGGGATGGGGGAGGGGCAGCTGTTGCTGCAGGCTGCAGTGAGCAGAGCTAGAATGTGAAGTACAGTGGTGTCCTTTAGAGAGCTCCTGGCTCACACTGTCCCTTCAACTTAAGTTCAAACTGTAGGGTTTTTACCAAACCTCTTCTCTAAGATCCCTTTCACTCTAAAGCCCCAGACTCTCCAGGACAGTGGCTCCCAACCATCCTAATGCTGTGACCCTTTAATACAGTTCCTCAGTCGTGGTGACCCCCCAATCATAAAATTATTTAATTGCTATTTTATAATTATAATTTTACTACTGTTATGAGTTGAAATGTAAACATGTGATATGCAGGAGATCTAATATGTGACCCCAGTGAAGGGGGTTGTTCAGTCCCCCAGAGGGGTCACGACCCACAGGTTGAGAACCCCCACTCTAGGACCTAGGGAGATTGGAGTGTCCTGTCACTACACACATTTTTGGTACTCCACATGACATGCAGAATTCTCTAATAATTAATCATGGTACCTCAGCCACCTCGGCGATGTTTTAAAGGCCAAGCTGAAGTGTTTGGTGTGTGCTCACTCATACCCCACCCCCCTTTTCATGGCGCTGGGAAGTGAACCCAGGAGCTTGCACAGGCTGGGCAAGACCATCTCACCCTCTTCTCAGGGCTTCTGCTACACCTTGTCTCTCCCTTCTCACTGTCCTCCCTTCATACAGAAGGCTTCTGCCTTAATTCAAGAAGGCTCCTTGAGTTACCCTCATCCCGCTGTGCCTGCTCGTCCCTTGCTTCTCTTCCTGTCCCTCTGCCCCTTCCATCTCTGCATTTCTCTTTCCGTCTTTAGTAACTGACATTTCCTCTTCTCTTAGCTCTTTCCCACTCCGAGTTGTAAATGTCATCCCGACTTTTATCTTAAGACTGCTGTCGTGTGCTCCGTCACTCTGTGTCTTTATCTTGAAATGAGTTTTTAAAATGTCTATGTCTGGTATTTTAAAAGTTATAGTTTCTATCAGTATCATTCTCTAATGCATTTTCATATGTTTTAAGATAGACTGTCAAAAGGTTTTGTAGGTATCTGAAGGAATGACTCCCCTTGGTGTGGAGGCTGGAGAACCTCCACTGTAAGTAGTTTATCTCAAAGGATGTCCTCTGAGGTCTCTGTAGATAGACTTGTCCAGCCCCGCTAGCTCCTGGGTCTGATGGCCCAAAGGTCTACTGCGCAGAACAAGAATCTTCCTACTGCAGTATGTGAGGACCCGGTGTGTCCCTAGCTCCACATCCCCTGGCCCCTCCTGAGACCCCCTCCCAGGATGCAGGGGATATCCCCCTTCCTAGATATGTCAGTGCCAGGTTTGGTAAATACCTGTCGTTTGGAGTTAGCCGTACTGTATTAAAAAGAAATGCCTGCTTGTCTCTTTTCTATCTGTGGACAAATGTTCTAGGTTGTCCTCCTCAGGCCTGAAATTATCTACCTACACTCCTGAGCCCAGCGTTGACCATGTGCCCTGTCTCCCCAGGGGTGGATCTTATCGCTGCATTCTATGGCTGCCTGTACTGTGGCTGTGTGCCTGTCACTGTGCGACCCCCACACCCCCAGAACCTTGGCACCACATTGCCCACTGTGAAGATGATTGTAGAGGTATGCTCACCTCCTGGCAGGCCATGCATGTCCTCTGGGGCGGGACATCATGGTGGTGTCATGCATGGTCTCTGCGGGGTTGTATGGGGATGCGGGGCTGGCTTCACAGCTTACTCGGGCTCTTGCTTCCATGTGACACAGGTCAGCAAATCTGCATGTGTCCTCAGCACACAGGCCATTACACGGCTGCTCAAGTCCAAAGAGGCAGCTGCCGCTGTAGACGTCAGGACCTGGCCAACCATCCTAGACACAGGTATGTGTCTCCAGCAGCCGCCCCTGGACAGGCACACTCTCGCTTTCTGTCCCGTAGGCTTGCTGTGGCTGGAGTTACGTTGCTGACATGCAAGAGAGATGACCCAGTGGTTAAGAGCACTGTTCTTGCGGAGGACTGGGATGTGGTTCCTGGCACCCATATGAAGGCTTGCAACTCCCTGTAACTCCAGTACCAAGGGAGCCAACGTCCTCTTCTGACTTCTACATATATATAGTACACGTATATAGACTCAGGCATACATATACACAGAAAATAATAACATTGAAAACAATGAATGCTCAGATAAATGGGTCAGCTTGTGTAAATGGCGAGAGGCGTTCTTGGGTTGGAGGGTCATTAGGTACCACTGTTGCTAACACGGGCTGGCTCCCTGGCCGGGATGTGAGGTCTTCTCCCCTCTGCGCCCACCATCAGCAGTTCCCATTCTCATGTGTGGGGGACTGAAGTCCTATTCCCCATTGCCTCTTACCACACAGTTACCTGTCATTTGTGAAAACTGTGCCCACTCTTAGTGTCCCTGTCACTCTCGCTTGTGAGTGACATCGTACCCTGAGATGCCTTTGCCCCAGTTGAGAAGAAGCTATGCCTTCTGGTTGAGTCAGCATGGCGGCTGAGACCAGCTCTGCAGATGTAGAGTGCTCTGCCTAGCGGAGCCCAGCACTGGCTTCAGAGCAGCAGGAAGCTCTCCTTTTATATCATACCCTTACATCTGAAGTTCTGTTTTTTTGTGGAAACCGGAGACTGATAGCTGATACTGTGGCAGGCATGAAGAACTAGTACTGGGCAGCTGACACTGGCCAAGGCTCTGAGCTCCAGCTGGGCGGAGTCTTTCAGTCTCAAGAGCTCAGTCTGCTCTTGTTGAACCTGCACTGGGCCCATTTGTATGGCAGGTAGCAGCAGTGTTTATCTCATGAACTTGAAGTATACAGACCCCAGGAGGATGTCTGCATGTCTCCTCGTGTGGCACTGCCACAGCCTCTGCAACATCAGCATATGATGAACACTGTGGCCTCTCCCGATGAGCAGTGAAGAGACTTCCTGTTGCCTTCATGTTCACAGCAGCAGAGTAGCCTTGGCGAGCCTGCACCACAGATCTCTCCTAAAAGAGGGAACTTTCCCACATGTAAACAGCATACACCTCCTGCTTTCTGGTAGCCTGACTTCTGTGACAGATCTGTCTCAGGACTCATTTCATGCCTATTTCTCACCCGGGGAAGTCGAAGCTTCTACCTATGCAGACAATGTGACATTAGCCACTGGTCTCTTCTGTTTAACAGATGACATTCCAAAAAAGAAGGTCGCCAGCATTTTCAGACCGCCCTCCCCTGATGTGCTTGCGTACTTGGACTTCAGTGTGTCGACGACAGGGATCTTAGCTGGAGTTAAGGTGGGACCTCACGGGAATCCTGAGGGAACGGGCTGCAGCTGGGAAGGTGCGGGCTGTAGCTTCAGGCGATGCTTCTCATCCAAAACACAAAGCAACATTATCACATTTTTTTTAAATCTATGTTAAATGTTAAAGAAGCCCAAAATTAGACCCCTGAGAAGATCAGATCTTTTCCTGTTCATGGAAATGTCGGGTTTCTCGATTGAGTTTATCTAATGTGAACGAGGGCACACGTACAGTGGCTGGCATGAGAGGTCAGGGTTAGGAGCACTCGCTGCTCTTACAGATGACCTGGGTTCCCAATACCCACTTCAGGAGGCTCACAGTCACATAATCCCAATTCCAGGGTGTTCCATGCCTCTTCTGGCCTTTGAACACCAGCCATGCACACGGTGAACATAAACTCATCCATATAAATAAAACAAATGAATCATTTTGTAATAGTGCAGTTAGAACGCTTTACTGCCATGGGTATTATTCAGGTCCTATGGGGGTATGAGCCAAGCATCTTCTTAGAAAGTACTTTCGTGTGTGGTGATGTGAAGCTGCATGCCCAGCCAACCACAGCAGTAGCAGACGTGGCCTCTGAGCCCTTCTTCCTCCACAGCCCTGAGCAGGCCTTTTCTTCACCCCTACAGATGTCACACGCAGCCACAAGTGCCTTGTGCCGCTCCATAAAGCTTCAGTGTGAGCTGTACCCCTCACGGCAGATTGCCATCTGCCTGGACCCTTACTGTGGCCTGGGCTTTGCCCTGTGGTGTCTGTGCAGGTGAGAGCATGCACCCATCACTCCTGGGGCCTGGGTGGCTGGTGTGCTTCCTCAGAACTTAAGACCCTTCTGTGGCTTCCTGAGTAGCTAGGAAGGCTAGAAGTATGAGTGGGTTTGTTTGGTGATTAAGTGGTTAGAATCTATGTTTATAATTTAATAAAAGAATAAAAATTGCTGGACATGGTGAGACACGCCTTTAGTCACAGCACTTGGGATTCAGAGGCAGGAGTGATTCAGAACTCTGAGTTTGAGGCCAGCCTGGTCTACATAGTGAGTTCCAGGCCTATATACTGAGACCCTGTTTGAAAGGAAGAAAGACAGAGAGAGAAAGAGAGAGAGAGAGACAGAGAGAGAGACAGAGAGAGAGACAGAGAGAGTCAGGGAGGAAGGGAGGGAGGGGAGAAGAAGAGGGGGCACAACAATGTTGTCAGCAGGTAAAGACACTTGCTTTGCTATGTAACTCGACCTAAGCTCAGTCCCTGGAATCCACATACAAGTAAAAGGAGAACAGACTCTATGACGTTGTCCCCTGACTGCTACATGCACACGCACGCATGCACACACACACACACACACACACATGTGCACACACACACATGTGCACACACGATAATAAAATGGAAAAGAATAGAAATATTTTCTAATAAGTGCAAATACCATCCATTATTAGTGGTTGGGAAGAGCCTTCTGCTTCTTTCAAATGCTAAGATACTTCTTCCTCTGTAATTAGGAGGCCTCTTCCCACGTAGCCCCTGATGATGTTCCTGAATGTTTGGGTGGAGGTCCCACCCACCCACAGTGTCTTTCTGCTAACTCCCTCTGGACCTCTGAACACACTGTGCCTGTTCGGGCTGGAGAAACGGTTTGTGTGAGGAAGGAGCCAGTATGCGTAGGCTTGTACCCTTGCCCTTTCCAACTGCCTCTCTCTCCACAGCGTGTACTCTGGACACCAGTCAGTGCTTGTCCCCCCGCTGGAGCTGGAGAGCAACGTGTCCCTCTGGCTGTCTGCCGTCAGCCAGTACAAGGCCCGCGTCACCTTCTGTTCCTACTCAGTGATGGAGATGTGTACCAAGGGCCTGGGTGCTCAGACAGGCGCCCTCAGGGTAAGTGTGAACCGGGCCTATACAGCCTCAGGAGGCTATCTAAGGGGGCAGGGCAGAGGTGGCCATAGACTTAGGGTACTCAGCAGTGCTTCTGTGCTTAGGACTCCCCAGGTGAAGGCAGAGCTGGAGGAAGCGGGTTTGTGTTCAAACTTGCCTTGTTACTCAGATCTCCAGCTAGACCTCATGGGCATCCCACAGACGCCCATCCCTTAGACAGTCAGCTCAGTGCGGCCCAGACTGTGTGTGCTGTGGAGTGACTTCTTGCTCTTCTGCAGATGAAGGGCGTAAACCTGTCGTGTGTACGCACATGCATGGTAGTGGCTGAGGAACGGCCCCGGATCTCGTTAACACAGTCATTTTCCAAGCTATTCAAAGACCTGGGCCTCCCTGCACGTGCTGTGAGCACCACGTTTGGGTGCAGGGTCAATGTGGCTATCTGCCTCCAGGTAAGTTGGTTGCACCTAATATCACTTGTACCTGTACCAGAGAGTAGTAGTGCCTTTGTAGACTGGCAGTAGTCATTCACTAGTCAGCCACTAGGTGGCTCTCTCTCTCTCTCCACCTTAGAGCTGTGGATGTTACCTTCCCACATAGCTGTTCAGCTTTGATGACTACGAGCACTTTGTTTAGAAAGATATTCTATTCGCTCTGATGAACAGGATTATTTAGATAGAAAAAAAGGTTTGTTTTGAGCAGTGACTATTGTACCTATGAGAATTTCTAATAACTGTAATAACCTGCTAATTTTTAAAAGCAAGATTAAACTTGCTTTCTTAAGAAATCTACAGTAATCTGTGGGTGGTGGCGCACGCCTTTAATCCCAGCACTCAGGAGGCAGAGGCAGGTGGATCTCTGTTTGGGCCCAGCTATGTTTACATAGCAAGTTCCTTAATAAGGAAGATAATGTGTATGGTCCGCTTTAGAACTGTTGCTAAAGTAGTAATCTACATGACATTTTAGAACTGATGTGAGCGTCACAGCTCTTTTAGTGGCTGTCCTTGTTTTCTGGTTTTTATACTAGTTTCTACTTCGATTCGTCCTCAGCATGTCTTAATGTTTATCAGATATCTGACACAGCAAATGCTGAAAACATTTCACAAAGTACCCTTTCTGGGCTCCCAAAGCAATGCTCAGCCTCTGCCCTGTTCTCTTCGTGGCCTCATGTGCAGGGTGGGTCTTGACTCCAGGGCCTACGCCTGTCTAAAAGATGTCATCCTGTTTCTCACCTCATTGAGCTAATGTCCCCTTATCCTCGAAAAGGCTCTGTCTGGACTGTTTTAAGTCTCCGATGACTGAGTAGCCAGAAGAGATGAGAGGGCGGTGGCATACGTGGGCATCGCCTTGGGTGTCAGCATGTGAGTGCCGTGTGCACCAGCAGGACTGTAACAATAGGTCTGTGTTTGCTCTTTAAGATACAGTGATGCGTTCTTCTCTCTGTTTCTCATGTGGCCTGTGGCCTTCTGTTTGTTTCCTGTGCTATTTCCTCCCTGTCTCCCTCTGCTGGCCGCCCTGGCCTCTGTCAGCCCAACAGGCTGGGAAAACTAGCTGAGCAGGTAGGACCTTACCCTAGCTGTCACCCTTGCTAGTGTCTCCATGTCTGTCTTCCCCCTTCCGGCACCCCACCCCTACCCCGCTTCTGAGTCCATGTGCTCTTCCGGTGGATTCCAGGATACATGTTTCTCTTGCTGTCTTAGTTTATTCACAATGAGAATCATTTGACTTTACAAAAGCTCCTTTGTAACCAAATGTAAAAGGAGTTTTTCAGAGGCTGGAGAGAGGTTATGCTGTCTAGAATCTTCAGGGAATGATGTTGACCAGGGTCTCCATTTAATTTGATGTCCCTTGTCAATAAAACGGCAATACCAGGCTTGTGAGATGGCTCAGTGGGTGAGGGTGATTGCTGTCAAGCCTGATGACCTGACATCACTCACTGGGACCCACATGGCAGAGGAAGAGAACTGACTACCTTATACATGCTCTAGGCATGTGGGTGTGCACGCAAACACACAATTAAATATGTGTAATAATAATAAACTCTGCTAAGTGACAAACTGATACATCCTGCCTACACAGGATGACACACTCGAGTTGTCTGGCTCAACTGAGTGTCTGCCGTGCTTAGTCCTCAGTGGAGTTAGTGAGATGCCAGACCCTGACTTGATGCTGGGTAGAAATGTTCTCGATCTGCACTGTTGTGTCAGGGCAGCAGAGGCCAGTGGGGACAGAAACTTGCAGAACTGACCTAAAATGCTAGGATTTGATGTTTCATTCACTGTTAGTTTTGCTCAGTATCATCTAGCCAAGTCGCTGTTTGGGTGGACAGCATCCACTCTGTCTTGGGGACCATGGGCCTTGTGCAGACTGGATGCAAGATGCACAGCTTCTTTTCTGGGTATCACAGACAGCCCGGGAGCAGCTACCATGCGGCCACGCTTGTGAAACTGAGCAGAGCATGTGGATTCTGAAAGAAGTCCCTCTGTTGTTTTCCCTCCAGGGCACAACAGGTCCAGATCCCACGACTGTCTACGTGGACATGCGGGCACTGCGCCATGACAGGTACTGCCCCCCTCCCTGTCTGCATCCTCTGTGGTAATGGTGCCGGCCAAGGCAGAGACACTTACACCCAGGAAACAGCATTGTGGGCTCACTTGGACACGTGCGATTTGCCTTTTTAGAAACTGCTATGGGGTAAACTTTATTCTGAACCTTTTTTCTTTGTCCATTTTTAGAGTTCGTCTGGTGGAACGGGGTTCTCCACATAGTCTACCGTTGATGGAGTCTGGAAAGGTAGTAGAAGTTGGACTGTTATCACCTGTGGTGTGGACAGCACTGGGGTGTATGCTCCTAGAGAATATGTGGGGACTGGGCTGGGACACTGAGGCCTAGAACTGTGAGATTAGGTCCTTGACTACTCAGAGCGTAGAGCCAGGAGTGAAGAACCCGGATATAGAAGTGAGAAGAGACTTCAGACACTGGCAGAGGGTGGGGCGGGTAGGCTATGGGTGGATCAATGGTCCTCACACTTCCAATTACAAAGGGCAGCTCTGATCCCAGACTGAAGATGAGCAGAAGGTGTTCTCTAATCCAGGGCAATAGAGAACAGGCCCCACTAGGGTACAACCAGACATTCGCCATCAAAGCAAGTCTTGGCCTACGAGGTCCCCAGAAACCTCCAGGCAGTTGGGAGGAGCTAGAGTTGCCCAAGAATGCCAACTAGAAATGTGAACCGCTGTGGGGTCAGCTGAGCAAATCCTGGAAGACCAGCATCCTCAGAAGCAAGGAGAGGTCGAGGAAGGATGACTAGGCAGGGAAAGAGTCGTACAGACCAGTGGAGTGGGCGCATGCTGCCTACCTGACTTCATAGCAACCTTCTTACATACAGGACTATCAGAGGTCCCCAGGGCTGTAGCCCCAGAGGCAAGAAATGGAGTTTGGCCACTGCAAACCCCATTGGCTACTGCCCAGGCCACAGCTGTCTTTTTAGGAGGCAAGGAGGTCATCAAAGATGGCCATTTGACATGTTTTCCATTTGTCAGAACCTTTAGGAATCCTGTTACACCTGTGCCTCCCTTGTCCATATATGGCTGCACCGTGGTTGCTTTACACACTGCTTTGCAGGAGTAGCATGGACCTGGTGGAACTGTTCTGAGTTTTTTGCTCTCAGGGTTCAGGTGGACCACAGAGGGAGAGAGTAGAGGTTCCACCTGTGTGCCAGGAGACAGCAGCGCAGCAGTGTAGAGCAAGGAGATGCCTGGCATCTGCTACTAGTTCATGTGTTTCTGCAGATCCTTCTTCACCTTTCTGAGGTCCAGGTTATCATCCTCTGTTATTCATGGGGAGACTGGGGCCACAGAGCATGTGGCCAGATTTCAGAAGTAGGACAATCTGACCCAGGCCCAGAGAGAACCCCCAGACTGAATGTGGTAAGCTCAGCAGGGCGCATGGCTGCTCTGCTGCCTGAGTTAGCACAGAGTAGCTCACAGGGGCAGGACGTCTCACTGACCGCTGCATGGTGAGGGCAGACTGGGAAGGATTGCATTTTGCAGGGAGAACCACCTGAAGGAATGGCCAGAGGATCCTCAGGATGCTCTCCCAGTAAAGAACACAGCGCCTGCTTTCAGGAACTGGGCCATTTTGTTCAGATTCACAGTGTATTTCTGATAGTGCCCCTTCTTTTAAAATTCAGATAGAAATTAGAACAGTGTCTAAACCCCTGATCTGTAGTCAGCCCTGTGGTGGCAGATAGGGCGAGTGTGTGAGAAGTGGGTCTAGCCAGCACCATGGCATCCCAAGAGTGGGTCTAGCCAGCACCACGGCATCCCAAGTCACCAGGGGCTGAGCAGCTTTCCTCCTTCCAGATTCTCCCAGGAGTGAAGGTGATTATCGCACACACGGAGACCAAAGGGCCCCTGGGAGACTCACACCTGGGAGAGGTGAGTGCTGCCTAAGGCTGGGGGTCAACCCAGAAGAACAAGGGCCTTCCAGACCCTGGCTTCTGTCTCCTCCTTTCAGAATCCCCTTAGAATTCAGGAATTCTAAACCTTTCGGGACTGCATATGTCTTTGTTTTTAATCTATTTTTATTATTCTTTGCTATCTGCGTGTGTTTGTTCTGTGGGTGTGTGCACATAGTGCAGGTGCCTGTGGATACTGGAGGCTGGGAGCTCTCCTGGAGCTAGAGCCACCTAAGGAGGTGCTGGGAACCAAATGCAGGTCCTCTGGAAGAACAGCAAGTGTTCTTAGTGCTCTCCCGCTTCCATGTGTCTTAAGAATCCTAGAAATGGTCTCCTCCCCACCTCTCCTGCATTCTCTGGCCCTGCTCATAAGTAGGGTTTCACAGTATGTGGGGAAAGAGGCCTCTCTCCCTGCATCACCCACCAACATAGTTCTGAGGGCATTGGTGTGCCAGGGGAGTTACATGGGACCGTCAGCCACCCGTGGGACAGGAATATCTGCTTTGGACAGGACTGATCAGCCACTCCTTACAAATCAGTCTTATATCAGAGTCAAGGTCACAGGCCCAGTGGCAATCAAACACTGTCCCCAGGCTCAAGGCTACACAGAACTTTGTTTCAGGCTCAGGATCCTTGGTGTCCCAAAGACTCAGACATATATGAGACAATTGTCCACAGAGCCTGTCATAGGCATTAGGTGATCAGGATGGGGGTGGGGCAAGAGAGCCTCTCACTTCCAGGTAATAGGTGGATGTAACACTCACTCATGAAGAGTGGGTAGGTGGAGCCTCTCACAGACAGTGGGAAAGTAGGTCTGTCACTCATGGGCGCTGGACGGGTGGAATATTCACTTATGGTGTGTGGACAGGCTGGGCCCTCAGGAGCAGGCAGGCAATGGCAGGTAAGGCCCTTCACTCACGGTAGTGAGCAGGTTGCGGGAGTTGTGGGGCGCGGGTCCCTCACTTGTGTACAGTGGGAAGACAGGGCTCCTCACTTATGGACAGTGGGCAGGTAAGGCTTCTTAGTCACAGCAGTAAGCAGGGAAGAGCAAGGAGAGCCCACAAGGGAAGTGCTCACAGGACACGGGAGGTCTGAGCTGAATAGCAGACTGCTCCTCATGGGAGCTGCCCCCTCTCTGCTCCTCTTTCGGAAGTTGCCGTGTGACGTTGTTAGTGTGGGCAGCTTAGTGTGTTCTGGGTGGTCCCTGTTTCAAGAGGCCCCTGAACACTATTAAGGATGATGGGCACGCACCTATAGACTTTGTTCTGTACATGGATGCATATCAACCCAAATGTGAGCACATTCTGAATGAACGCACGTGAGCACGGGTGCTCAGGGCTGCTGTGGACACCAGGGTGCCATTTGCATTGTTTAGGCACGAGTGAGAGAGCACACACGTGCTCTCCACACAGAGTGTACTTTAACCTGTCTCTGTTGTGAACACCAGACTGCCCTGTTCTCTCTCACTGTCGTTTGATATGTGGAAGTGGAAGCATATCCAGACAGGACAGCAGGACAGAACCATACAGATACCATTCCTGGAACAAAGGGACAGTTTGTTTTAGAAGAGGTCATGCTATGCATGGTCTCACACACACACACATGTATGTATGTATGTATGTATGTATGTATGTATCCGCACGGTGTGCTCTGCATGGTTCTAACGTCATACATGGTAGCCTTTCTACCCTGATGAAGCCAAGCTGTGATCATTCCTCGTGTGTGTGTGTGTTTATGTTTATGTATATGAGGCTGAGGATTAGAAGCTGGATGCCAGCCTGAGCTATATAGCAAGACCTTGTTTAAAAGGAGGAGGGAAGGAGGGAAGGAGGGAGAAGAAGGAAGAAGAAAAAAAGAATAATAGTAATCAGTGATGGTTGTGTTCCTCTCTGTGTAGTTGTATTGAGTTCACAAAATAAGACCTTGGAAATGCCACCCTTCCCTTGGGTGCTATCTTGAGGTCATCTTGGGCCATAAACTCCGAAAGACAGAATCAGCACTGAGTGATCTGCTTGTCCTCTTGCCTACCCCCGCCCACTAGATCTGGGTGAGCAGTCCCCACAATGCCACTGGGTACTACACGGTCTATGGCGAGGAGACACTTCACGCTGACCACTTCAGTGCCCGGCTGAGCTTCGGAGATACCCAGACCATTTGGGCAAGGACTGGCTACCTTGGCTTCCTTCGAAGGACAGAGCTGACTGATGCCAGTGGAGGTAAGAGCCTCTTGCTGAAGGGCTAGCCTCAGCACTGCAGGGGCTAGGGGTTCGGTTGCTGTAGCCCATGGTCCTTGCTCCTAGGCTTGGGGAGCCCTCAATGACCTCATATTGTCCTCCACTGGTGGTGATTTGTATTGTTTGGTGTGGGGTGGAGAACAGGCTCCAGTAACACTTCTCTGGGTGGTTCTGTTCCCACTCCTGTTGCTGCCCTCATGTTCTATTCTTGACCTCTGTGGAGATGCTGGGAGGGATGGCAGCTACTGGTCCTGAGCTGTGAGGTTCCTCCCAAGTGATGTAGCCAGCCAAGGAACTGCATGTTTTTAATCAGCAGGGTGTGCTCTGCATGGTTCTAAAGTCATGCATGGTACCCTTTCTACCCTGATGAAGCCAAGCTGTGATCATTCCCCAAACGTCCAGGCCCTGCAGGCCTAACAACTTAAGTCAGAACTTTTGTAGCCTACAGTCACTGTAATGTTCTATAGCTAAAAATGATTTTAAAATGCATTAACACACACTGCTGTAGCTGTTGTTGACCAACGCAGAGGTTAAGACGGAGTTGTTGGCATCTCTACTAGCCCACTCAGCTTGAAGCACAAGGACCATGAGATAACTGGTTTCATGGCCTCCCTGTGGCAAAGGACATACACAAAGGGCAGGCAGGCTCACTGTGTAACTCTCTTCCTAAGCATGTACATACCCATGTTCACAGAGCGACATGATGCACTGTATGTCGTTGGGTCTCTGGATGAAACGCTAGAGCTAAGAGGCATGCGGTATCACCCCATCGACATAGAGACCTCTGTGATCCGTGCACACAGGAGCATCGCCGAGTGGTAAGAGTGATGGGGGATCTCCTGCGCTGTTGGTCAGCCTTGCCCTGGGCTTGAGCACTGCACACAGGGCAGTACCAGGTACTAATCTAGCGTGAGCACCCCCCACACACAGTTACAGCCCCTGGTGAGCTGCACTGTCCTCGTCTTTCTCCCAGAGTTTAGGACCCAGGCTTCTCAGCTATTCCACATACATTTCTACAAAAGTACCAGAGATACCTCCATCTTTTTATTCTCCCGGGCAGGTTTAAGTCACACAGTTGTCTCTAGCGTACAGGCAAAATGGGAGACTGCCACTGTTCTCATGCTGAAGTATTTCTAGTGTAAATGAGGTTTTCTCATGTAAACAGTGGTGAGTGGGATCTCTTCACCCTGTTGGGAGCTTGCCCTGGGGCAAGCACAGCTCTCAATAGCAAGTGCTGACTGTTCTTGTCAAGAACGTTAGAGCAGATATCCCTACAAGATACACTTAGCTGGGCCTTAAAGCTATGGTGCTAAATAGCAGCACGCGCTGATAATGTCAGCTGGTGCCTTGGCTGCCTCTGGGATACTGACCAAGCATCTGCTTGCCCCACGTGCGGCCCGTCTCCGTGACTGTCTGCTCTCCTCCAGTGCCGTCTTCACCTGGACCAACCTGCTGGTGGTGGTGGTGGAGCTGGATGGTCTGGAGCAGGATGCCTTGGACCTGGTGGCCCTGGTGACCAATGTGGTGCTGGAGGAGCACTACCTTGTGGTGGGTGTGGTAGTCATCGTGGATCCCGGAGTGATCCCCATCAACTCTCGGGGCGAGAAGCAACGCATGCACCTGCGAGATGGCTTCCTGGCTGACCAGCTGGACCCCATCTACGTGGCCTACAACATGTGAGCCCAGCTGGACAGAGCTGGCTGTAGGAACCAGCGGAGGTGTGAGGCTAGGCTCGCTGCGGGGTTTCTGCCCCAGGGGAAGGGATCTCAGGCTTCATCTGCTCACAGCTGCGTGTGGTTGTCAGATCCTCTCCACAGTGTCCTGAATGTCACATTAGAACATTCTCCGAACCAGCTAAAGCAGTGTTTTGGATCTGCCAAGTATATCTACCAAAACATGGGTGACTGGGAAGGGAAGGAAAGGCCTGGCATTACGCCGCGGACATTGCTGATGCCACGGCTGTTCTGCGCTATACTGCAAGCTTGCACTTTTTTTAGGCTAAAAAAATTATTCCTGATTTCTAAATATATAAATTTCCTGATTATTTATTCCCACGTGTAATAACAAGCATATATATGTAAAGTCTATGCTGGAGAGAACTTTTGAGCCAAGCCTGCCTAGGAAGGCTGACGAGAAGAGCAGCCCCGGTCTCCACGCTCACAGCCCGGGCTCCACGCAGCCACGCAGCCACGCATCCCCCTTTGTCCAGTCTGATCACTGAAGCAGGTGTGCCTGCTTGTGTGTGTGTGTGTGTGTCACCAATGCTCAGCAAGTGCCATTTTGGACTGTTTAGTTAGATCCTGTTTCAGAAAGATAAACCAGCATCTAATTTAAACTCACTTTCCTAGCCTGTAACTTAGTGACGTTTCAACCGCAGGCTCTCACGACATCACAGTATTCATCCTCCCATGAAGCATACGGAATTCTTTTTATGAACAGATCTGGACGCATGAGTGGAAGGTCTTCTCACCCATGTGCTAGCCAGGCCTCTTACACAGCTGAGTCGCCGTGGGAGCCCATCCGTCTAGGGAAGACAGAGCTGCAGCCTCTTGGCTTTGCATTTGAGTTATGTGCCTATAAAACTTGGCCAAACCATTTTTTAGTTAATTTTATCCAAACTTGAAATCCTAGTGATCTAATATTGTACTTAAGTCAGAAAAGAGAATGTAAAAATCTTTTAGATACTTAATAAGAGTTTGAAGTCAAGCATGAATCTAAGATTATTTTTATATAACTAATCAAAGATCAATGTTATCAAGTTGTTGGGGTTTAGGGACTTAGAAGGATGGAGACGTTTATGAATCATATCTACTTCACAGAGACAGCTAGGTTTTTCTAGAGTTAGCCTGGACACGTGGTTTGGCGAGTCCAGCTGACTGGTTCTACTCTTGTATCTCACGTCGGGAAGCACTACGTGGCGTAGCCCTGTTGCTCATGGTATCAAACTGTGGTCTAGTATGTTCAAACATACTGGAAGTGTAATAATCCTGTTATAATTATGTACAGAACCCATGTAACTTATTACGTGACATCAGAGTCTAGCGGCAGACTGATAGGGTTCGCGGTTGACTGCTGAGAAGGGACCCGAATTACCTATCCGCCGTCTCAATGTGGTCGTTTTTATAGCGGACAGCGCCTGTAAACTTTTTGTATTGAAAACTCAGTGGCGGTAAGAACATATCTGGTAAGATAAGATTTTAAGAATCGTATTAAAAATGTTTTAAGGTTACTCTCTGGGAATTCTGTATATCACACTAATTTTTTATATCTTGTTAATAAAAGCTATTGACTTTGTAATTCTGCATTTTGAAATGTGTGAAAGGGTTTTTTAAAGTTTCCCAAAACAGGATGTATTTTATTATGCATTATTTCTTTCAGAAATACAAACACGATTTTGCTTATCGTATGAAAGCTAGAAAATACATTAAAGGGCCGGAAAGGAAATTTAAAGCCTTCTACAGTCCTCCTTACAGGTACTAGCAGCCTTAGGACTGCCAGGCATCTCAGGGATTTTCAGCCTTTAAACATTTTTTTTTTTTAAACAAAATCAGGACCATCTACTTCTTTCACAATCTGCTTTTGTGCTTAATAAATGACAGACTTTTGAATCGGTCACATACATTCTTCCCATGCCTTAATGACGACAACATTGTGTGCTGCGCAGGGCTGCATGCAGCACGTCCTAGGCTGCTGGACCAGCACCACCTCCCCATTCGCAGTCACCTCCCCGGTGCATGGCTGCCTAGCCTCAGCTCTGCTTGTAGCGTGGGTAGGTCAGAGTTTGTGATGGGCATGGTGCCTGGATAGCCATTACCTCCAGAAGGGCCACACAGGAGAGTTCACATCCCCAGCCACTAGCAGTACCGGTTACTACCCCTCTAACAGGGTCACCATCCTGAGGGATGAGCTGAGTTTTCTCCTCTCCTGTTCTCTTTTTGGACACCTTGTGGTGAAAGGCTAGAGTTTCCTCCCTGAGCCTGCTCCTGCTCTGCTTTGCCTCAGGTTCAGAGAAGATCTCAGGACTCCTGCAGAGACCTGGCCACCTCAGGGCATCACCCCAGAGACCGGGCTGCGCGTGCAGCTTCTCAGCACGGTTGACTCGGGGGCCTCTGATGTGGAGCACTGCTCACCAGAGGGCAGGGCACTCCCAGCAAATAAAGTATCACTTATGGGTGGGCGGCCTATAGCACGGGACCTTGCATGGACAGGAAATTCATGTCGAACTCTAAGCTCACGGGTGACAACCTCCTGTCAGTCACCACACCTTTCTAGAGGGGTTCAGGAAGCTTGGAAAGGCAGGCATCCTGACCGTGTGTCAAATCTGTGGCATGAAGCTGGGACAAGAGGACCTCAGGAGGCCCTGTAGGTAGCCCTTGGTCTTCTGTCTTGTTAGCTCAGGTGCCCCAAAGTACCCACTGTGTGCCTCCAGCCCAGTATACTGCAGTTCTCTGCTTCTGGTCTCTAGTGCTCGCCTGTACACACTCAGTATTTTCCACAGCTTTATGTGTTAGGCCCCTTGGCCTCCAGGAGAGCTAACTAGAAGGAGTAGGTTGCTGGGGGCATTCCTTGGAAGGTTTACCAGCCTCCTGTCCTTTCCAATCTACTTCCTACCTGACACAGTGTGAGCCCCTCCGCCATGCTCTTCCCTCTATGAGGAACTTTCAAAAGCGTGAGGTAAGCCAAATATTTATTCCTCTTTAGTTAAGTCAGGAATTGTGTTGCAGTGGCAAGAAAGCTAACATGTGACCCAGCCAGGGCAGAAAATTGCCTGTACGAGCCACGTCATACTCTCTGGTCAGGTGGAGTCTGATTCTGTGTTGCCTTTGAACATTGTAGAGCCTTCTGCAACCCTACCTGTTATTCACCTGCCCTTGGGCTCTGCCTGAGGCTGGGGTGAGGTCTGGGCAGTCCCTCTTTAGGATTTATAGTCCTTGTGCTGGTCTCATAAATACTTTATTTCTTCTTCAGTGGTGATGGAGAATTTTCACAATGTTTTGTTTTTTTGTTTTTGTTTGTTTGTTTGTTTGTTTTCCACAAGGGCATTGTTCAGTTGACTTAATGAACTTCTAAGTTTCTCTTTAAAAAAAAATAACAGTACCAAAAAAAGAGACGGGTAAGAATAATTAGAATTCTCCTAGAATGACTTTTTAATATTTGCAATGCGATTTTTATTTATCCATAACTTGGATTATTTGAACCTTCGCTATTTAAATATGCAGGTTAGACAGCATCAAGTCCAAGCATCAAGTTCAGCTTCCCACAATCCTCCACTCTCAGCCTCACTAAGTGTCAAGCAGGCCCTTGGCACCAACAGGTCAGACATGATTCCCAGCAGCTAAAGGACACACCTCAGAGGCCCTTCATTCCCTGGCAGCCTATCCTGCGAATCTTAGCCTCACGGTCACTCACTTTATAGACAGGAGAGGGAGAGAGGAAGATACAACTAACTAGAAAAAGACCCGACAGTCTGGCCATTCCCCTCCTCTGTCTGTGTCCTCCGGGAACAATGGTGTCATTCTCAAAGGAGAAGTCTACCGAGCAGAATTTTTGATTCTCGGTCCTAAGTTAGAATGGTCATACTTAGTTTGTGAGATCTAATTGTTTTCCCGGTTAGAACTGTTGGCATTAAGTATTTACTTAGTCATGAATCACTGCACACTGTGGAAGAAGAGACTCAAACGTGGCGGTTCTCCTTTTGGGCTGGGGCAGGGTGTAGGTGATCAGTCTGTCTACTTTCTGGGGTGCCATCTGCGCAGATGTACAGACGAGCAGCCTCTTTGGGTGGCAACGGATCCAGCTGTGGGTCTGTAGATGTACGGGAAGCATACACCTAAGAAAACTATCCAACAGAACTGCCGCTGGTAGTCTGCCTTGCTTCTTACGGGTGACCCTTCTGCAGGGACATGGTGGCCAGCAACACGTGCTGTACCTGCAGAGCGTTGATTTCGTCTCCTAAGTGACCCTTACCAACAGTTCCCGGGACCAGTCAGCTCACAGGAATGCCTAGCGGAGCAGAAATCATGATGCACTAACTTAAAGCAGCCCTATGGGAGGGGGTCAGGGTTTCATTCCCCAAGCAAACCAAGCTTCCTAATTAGTTACGGGTGTCTAGAAAGCTCCGGTACTTCAAGCCCACGAGCCTTTGCTGAGCCTCCTCTTAGGACCCTCACGTCTGCCGCAGCGGCTCAGCTATTTTTTTTTTCTTTTTTGTCTCACTCATGTTCAAAGAACTCATGGCAGGCTGTGGTCACCGTGGAGATGAACACCATAAACTCCTGGAAGTCACACTCCCCATCCCCATCTTCGTCCAGCGTCTCCATCACTTTGTCCACCACTTCCTGCTCTTTGATTTCCTGAGAGAGAAACAGAAAGAGGTGATTAATACCTCTTTCTAGATAGAAGACTGAGCCGTCAGAGTTCTACACTTTTTTTGTTTTTTTGGTTTTTGGGTTTTTTTTTTTTTTTTTTTTTTTTGAGACAGGGTTTCTCTGTGTAGCCCTGGCTGTCCTGGAACTCACTCTGTAGACCAGGCTGGCCTCGAACTCAGAAATCCACCTGCCTCTGCCTCCCAAGTGCTGGGATTAAAGGCATGTGCCACCGCCCAGCTCAAGCTGACAGAGTTCTATTAAAAGTACCGGGCTGATCAATTTGCGTCAGAAAGAATGCCGATACAGGAAATGAAGCATCCTAACAGCCTTCTGTGAGCAGGGACAGTCAGCCACAGGGAAGTGGGCAGCGGTCTGTTCTCCTCTTCCCTTTGGTCTGGCGCGACCTGGATTACTTCAGAATAAGGAAAAAAATGAAGTAACGAACAGCCTGGGCCAGTGACTTGAGAGAAATGAACTCGGTGCTCCGGAGTGTCTTGTGTGTTTGGGAGCTCTGTGGATCCTAACAGTCACTAAAATAACACTTGGGAGCGTGTCAGAGTTGCCGTCTGTCATGTTCTTTTTCTTCATGAGTAGCTTCCTAGATGTCATACATAGACTTTTCCCCTGACAGTTCTGATGCCAAAGCTGCATGAACGGTAAGGCTGCCCCGACACACAAAGTAGGTGAAAGGTACATCGTACAGCTCCTAATGGATGGCCCAACAATGCAGGCCTGAAAACTTCTGTGGGAAGAATGCAGGCTCTCAGTAGACTGTTTCAGCTAACACCTCCCTGACAGGAGAGCTTTGTGGGGAAGCCAACTGCTAAATGACGGTGATTCCCAAGGGCTCATAGGGGCTTTCAAACATCTCCCAAAAGATAGATGGGAACAGCATAGTTCTCCCAGTTACAAGTGCTATGATTTCGAACCTACACAGCCTCCAGAGGCCTGTGTAGGAGGCCTGGTGCCAGCCTGTGGCACCACGGGGAGAAGATAGAACCTTTGGGAGGTAGGCGGAGTGGGAGAAAGCTGCATAACTGGGCCATACCCCTTCCTTTGTTTCTTTGGTCCTCACTGGGGTGGTCTGCCTCATCTAAGGCCCCCAAACAGTGAAGCCTGACACCTGTGCACCGAAATCAAGAGCCAGAATAAATCTTTGTTGCCTGGCCATGGTGGCACCTGCCTCTAATCCCAGCACTCAGGAGGCAGAGGCAGGTAGGTCTCTGACTTCGAGGCCAGACTGGTGTCCAGGGTGAGTTCCAGGACAGCCAGGGCTATGCAGAGAAACCCTGTCTCGGAAAACAAAACCAACCAAATAAATCAATAAACCTTCCCTCCTTCAAGTTGATTTTCTCCAGTGCTTTTGTTGAACCAGGCCAGCGAACATGTAAGATGCTTTGATATCATACATGTCATCGTTTATAAAGATGCCATTACCGGCTAATTTTTTTTTCCTGTTGTAAAACCATGAGAGTAGTGAGTATCTTAAACTGTTGTCAACTGGGCTTTTACTATCCACGAAGAACTTGACCCGCTCTCCTCATCCCCACATACTCTTCTTCAAAGATGAAGACGTTAAGACTCTTCTATTAAGTCAAAAGGCAGAGAATGCGTGGGACTATAACTGGCTATGCAAATGGAGTTTCTGTCACCCGGTATCTGAATGCCTAAGGAGTTAATCCCAAAGCCCAGTTTTCTCAGCAAGGTGACAGGTTCTTTACCTCCCCACACAACAATGAAGTAGTTTGTCTGGATGGGAGAAAGGAAAACACCTGCCACACATCCAGTCAGTGAGTATAAACATACCCAGTTAACTTAGAGTGTGGTTTCCTGTCACCATGTGACACGGCTGTGCCCCAGAGTTATACCCTGGCTTGGCACTTGATCAAACACTGACTAGTTTTCCTCTGTCTGTGTGGTTGGCAACTTCTGTGGCCCAAGGGCACTCTCTGTGGCAGGACACATTCGTGGTATACCACCAACATTTCTATATCGCTCGAATTGTGCCACGAGCGTTAGTTTAGGGGACAGAGAGAGCACTGGGTGGCAGAAGGATTACAGTTCCCCTCCATGGGAGCACTTGGTTTATGGGCAGTAGAAACACTAGGAGCTGACTCAAGGGCAGAGGAGACAGCGGGTAAGGAAGTACTCGATTTCACTACCAGAATATTAAGTGCCCGGAGAAAAACAGCTTGCCAAGAACCCTTCTGTAGCTCTGTAAGTGGACTCCAAACTAAACGTATGCCCAGTCAATGTTATATACTCTGGGGAGGCTTCTCTTCCCCTCAGGCAAGTATCCACTCATGGATATGCTACACTGGGTGCTTTGTGGGCCCTTGTATATCAAATATTGAATTACTGAGTGCTCAGTAAATGTTTTATCTTTTTAGTGGGAAGTACCAGTCAGCTAGACAAAGGGAAAAGATTTCTTCCTCCGCCCTAAACTTGTCATGCTTTAAAAGAAGTGTGTGTGTGTGTGTGTTTATGTGTGTGTGTGTGTGTGTGTATGCCTACATACTCTCACACCATGGTACACACGTGGAATTGCTTCTCTCTGTCTACTGTGTGGATCCCAGTGATCAAACTGAGATCATGAGACTTGGTGGTAGGTGTGTTTACCTGCTAAGCCTTCTCGCTGGCCTTGTTCTGTTTTGAGAGGTGTTATCCCTGTGTGGCCCAGGCTGGCTTCCTGTTTCCACCTTTGAAGTATAAGGACTACAGATTCGAGCCATAACCAGCTGATGGTTCCTGAGTGTCACTGGTGAGTGATTTGCTGTTCTGTTCCGTCCACACCCATGGATTCTTAGATTCAAGGGACAGAAACAGCCCGTCTGAGCTCATACTCCCAGGGTTTAGTTGTTCAAACTAACATCCAGAAGCAGCCCAGGGTATCCAGAGACAGGACCGGACATAAGGACCATTTCTAGTGCAGTTCGGCGATAGTTTCCTAAGGCTTACCTCCAAGAAGTGAGAGAGTTCATTGTTGATGAGCTCCTTCAGTTCTGATTTCTTCAGCTTGTGCTTGTCACCCTCTCTTCCGGAATACTGATGGAAGATGTCAATGAGGGCCACCATGGCCTTCTCCAGCTCAGACATCCCGGAGGCTGCAGAGGAAGGATACCTTTTCATGTTTTCTACCCTGTTCTTTGGAGAACTTAATACACTGCTTTCGGGCCTCAACTCAGATGAGGGATAGAGAGGCCTGACAGAGAGGGGCATCCTGGGAGCCACGCTGACCATGGTTCATCCTCTTTTGTCCAGTCTTTTGTCCAGGCCCACCAGCTCCCCTCTATGTCCCCATGGGCCACAGGGCTAAATTTCCAAGACCATTGGCTTCTGGTTGGGTTTGGTCAATGAGAAACTAGCAAAGATGCTGACACAAAGCATTAGGGAGTGACTCCAGGTCTCCCTGGTGGTCAACCCCAATCCCAGAGGATATACCTCTAATATATCCCTGGTGGCTACCCTCATATTTTTATGTATATCAATATCTATATCTATCTATATATCAATATCTATATCTATCTATATATCAATATCTATATCTATCCATATCTATATCCATATCTATATCTATATCTTACTTCAATGAGATTAGAGCAGTGAGCAAAAGAGGCAACTGGTGTGTCCGGGGAGCGTATGCTAGAGACAGACCTGTGTTTGCTCCTCTGTTCTCTCACATATATATATATATATATGTGTGTGTGTGTGTATATATATATACATATATATACACATATATATACATGTATATATATATGTATGTATGTATGTATGTATATGATCAATTTTTAAAATGCAATAAACAGCATCCTCATACAGCAATAATATCAGGGGTTAGGAGGAAAAATGCAGGCACTTCCAAAAGGTTCTGAGGAGCAAGAATAAGAGAGTTCTGGCTAGTTTTATACCCGTTTGACACACGGTAAAGTCCTATCTCAGAGACAAGAACCCCAATTAAGAAAATGCCCCCATAAGATCCAGCTATAGAGCATTTTCTTAAGTAGTGATCGATGGGGGAGGGCCGAGCCCATTGTGGGTGGGGCCATCCCTGGGCCGGTGGTTCTGGGTTCTATAAGAAAGCAGGCTGAGCAAGGCAGGGGGAGCAAGCCAGTAAGCAGCATCCCTCCATGGCCTCTGCATCAGCTCCTGCCTCCAGGGTCCTGACCTGCTTGAGTTCCTGTCCTGAATCTCTGTGATGATGACCTGTGATGTGGAAGCCAAAGCTGAATAGCCCTATCCTCCCCAAATTGCTTTTTGGTTACGGTGTTTCATTGCAGTAATAAAAACCCTAACAAAGAGCTTATTTTCATTTGAATCGATATATTAGTTTAAGATATTTAAATAAAATATGAGTGAGATTTTTTTTTTTGAATGGGGGACAAACCAAAAAAAAAAAAAAACTGTAAAATTCATCTGGAAAATAAAGGTATCATTGTACCAAAATAACAGTGAAGTGGCCTTGCAGAAACATGTACTCCAAGGTCATATGATTCTACTGGCATCCTGACACAGCGAGACGGAGGCCCAGCCCAGCGTTCTGTGCTTACTCATTAGCCTGGCCTTAGAGTACAGCGGCTTCTTTGTGAACAGGCATGCATCCCTCTGAGAAGCAAACAGCTTTCGCAGTGAGCACCTGACGCAGCAGCCACAGCCCGGGAATTTGGGGAGGGCCACTCAATTATCTGAGGGACTCCATTAACCAAGGTGGCTTTTGGGCTCCTTTCAGAAACCAGTCACTTTAGACAGAGACATTTGGCAGCTCCTGGCCTTGAGTTCTGGTCCTTAAGTCAGAGCCTTGTTACAAGTAAACAAACAAAAAAGGTTCCAAAGTCATCTCCGTGTTGAACATATTATATTTTAGAATACAATTTTAGTAGCCTTTTACATTTTTAATAATGATCTCCCAAAAGAAACGAAGGTTTTTGGCGTTCATCGGTTCTTTGGTTCTTTGGTTTGCTCATGTTTTCCAAAGACACCTGACGTACCTCACATATAAGTAGAACAATGCAATATAATATTACAGATAGAGGAAATGTAATGTTCTCTCTTAGTTTCTTAACTTGAGTTTTCAGTTATGGTTGGTCTTTTAGCTAAAAAGAAAATCTTATGCATCTGGGTGTTTTGCCTGCAGGTATATCTCTGTAGTGTGTGTGTACCTGGTGCCCTCAGAGGTGGGAAGAGGGTGTTAGATGCCCTGGAACTGGAATTACAGGCAGTTGTGAGCTGCCGTGTGGATGCTGGACTGAGCCATCTCTCCAGCCCTGGTTACTGTTTTTGTTTGTTTGTTTGTTTGTTTATGAAAGAAAATACGTTTAGTGCCATGGGAAAAAAGTGGTGGGGAGGGGAGGGGAAGGGAGGGCAGGCACAGAATTACCTGCCTTTTTCCTTTTAAGATTGAGATGGGGTCTCACTGTCCCCAGCTTCTCTTTTAAATCACAATCTTCTTATTATCTCTACTCTCCCAAGTGTTGGCTCACACCCAGCACAGTTATTGATTAAAAAAAAAAAAGTCTTAAGAAACTCTGCATCACACAGATACTGCTCAAAATCCTAACGGCTGGAGGAAGGAAAGGTTAAATGATCTTTTTTTTTTTTTTTTTTTGTGGAAAAGGACTAAGACTTAAGAATAAATGGTGTAACACCATATCCCATATGTTAAAAAAAAACTCCATAAAATTTTGTTTTCATAACTACATTAAAAATTCAAAAATTTCCCTATTTTTTCCAACTAAAGAAGCATTGGTTTGTTGTCTGTCTTCTAAGTCAAATGTATTAGCCTTTATTTAAAAAAAAACAAAAAACCAAAAAACCACAGGGCTTGAGCTTCTTGGAATGTTACTGTCTGTAAGGTGAGAGGTCCCCACAGAGGCTGCCCCTCCCCAGGAGGAAAAATGGGGGAATCAGAAGCCACCCCCAAACTCTCATTTCTCTGCCCCAATTCATAGTGATTTGAAAAGATTCAACTACTTTTTTTTTTTTTTTGCAGTGTCTTGGAGATGTTGCTCTTGGCATTTCCAATAGGGAAACTGGAAAAGCTCACAGGGGTGTTCCAGGGACCCCAGGAAAAGCTGCCATGAGGAAGGGGGAGCTGTGTTTGGGGATTTGGGGTAACCCTATTCCAGGAAAGGAAAGCCTTCCCTAAGGACTTAGAGAAGAGCACTGTGTGCCATCTCTGAAAACACCAGTAGTTATTCTGAGTCTCTAAAAATGACCTAAGGTTTCCCTGGCTTAATGAAATCAAAGCCAGAGACAATGCCCTGCCGTGGCACAGACACTGCACAGTCAATGTTAACAACAGTCGTAAGGAAACAGAAAAGGCAGCCTCGTTGGCAGTTTTAAAATGCCGCCAAACGTCCCCCAAAGGTCTTTTAAAAAACTTAAAGCTCAATTCCCATTCTCTCCCCTTCACCCCTCACCCTCCAGGAAAGAAAAAAGGCAGTTTTTCTTGGGTGCTGTCAGTTGTTCTGTCTCACCTCCTTGGTCACCTTTTGCTGCTGGAGTCCTCTCTGGCTTCAGTGTCCGAGTAACAGGAGTGTAGACAGAGCGGCTTCTTATTCTTCCTCCAGAGAGAACTGGGTGTGGGCTTGGCCGCAGTCTGCTGCAGGCTGAGGCTGCCAATGGGGGCCGAGGGCAGGGAGGAGCTAGAGAACCAGGCCTGCATACAGGGCCCCATTGAGTGGTACCCAGGGGATCCACTGGGCAGCCACGATTGGATCTGATCTAGAAAGAATATGGGCCTGTTGGGCAGGAAGTGTGGAGTCAGCTTCTCTGTGCCTTTTAAATTTATTATATGAATATTGATGCAGTTCCAAAGGCAAGGCTGGGGGTGGGAGGAGGAGAGAGACGACGTGGGTGCAGTGATTTAAACAGCAGACATGCAGCCAAGAACTGGAAACTTCCAGTGCTGAGCGCTGGAGGCTGTGTGGCCCTAGCTGGCTTCCAAGGAGGCCTTTTGAGCATCTTACCTGCCTGCCAGCTTCCTGGTCCCTTCCTGCCGTGGATGTGGATGCTGGGCAATGGTTAACCCCATACTTGTCTTTGAGCCCAGTCTTCTAAGGGACCAGCATGCAATAAGTTACTTACTTAGTACTTGTTGCAACCAGGGAAAGACATGCCAGCTCTTGTCTTGGGCCTCTCTCTCCTCACCCTGGTCAAAGGTTATGAGTTGTCTGAGCCAGAAACACTTTAGAAAGAGCCTGTCCCGTGCTCTTTTCGAATAGGGAAGAAATGTCGTGCCTCTTGTCAAGGCACAAAACAAATCCAGAAAGTGGTCTGTGTTCCTAATGCCTATTTCAACAAGAGCACACCTGAGCTTCAAACAGCATCAGTTGTGTGCTCTCGCCCAGAAGGGAGCAGTCCTTTTGACAAATCACGCAGAAGCAATGGCCCAAGCTGACCAAACAAGCAGAGGATAGCTTAGTCACATGTCCCTTTGCCCCTCGTGTTCCGGGTGTCTGTGGGAAGAGCTACATGGCAAAAGTCACCCAAATATCACATAGACCAAGAGGTTGACAAGATATGTTAGGGGGTAGAATAAAACTTTCCCACCCAGGAATGTAACCTTTCCTTGAGGAAAGCAGGCAGCATCTATTAGTTTTGAGGCAGAGGTATAAACCCCTACTCTGGTTCCTCCCTATTACAGGGGGCAACTTGTCATTTATCTATATGAGATCAAAGCCACTGGTTCCCAAAGATTAGGTCCCCTAATCTTCTTAGTCCCCAGTAGACAATAAAAAGGAGATGACTCAGGGAGACAGCCATGATAATCATGGCTGGCTCAGGGTACCAGATGATCGAGGCATCTCTAACCCCTCCCTGGCTGTTTTCAGTCAGTTACACTGACTTTAAGTAGAGATGTTCAAATTCCTCTGTGTGTATGTGTGTGTGTGTTTGTGTGTGTGTCTGTGTGTCTGTGTGTGTGTTGGTCTTCAAATCCCAGACAAGCCCCCACAAATGTTACAGGATTCTTGGGTTAGGGGTGGTCATCTATGGCTCCTATGGAGTGGACAAAGAATTCTACATCCTGGAAAGAAGACACACTGAGGAAAGTGAAGTGACAGTTGGAGAGTGAAATGGGTCACTGAGGTATGGCAGCCCAAGATCTTTCATGTAGGAGACATGAAAGTAGTCCCTTCATGCCAGTGAGAGAGATCTGAGGCTCCCAGACAGATCTGAGGCAGGGACAGCAACACAGCTACCACCTGAGGGAAAGCAGAGATCCTGAGGGCCCCTGACAGAAAAGAGCAGTTACAGATCATGAGGGCAGCTTACAGAGTGAAAGTAAGTTACCGATTGCATCGATCACCAATGGAACTGGCTTTAACTTTTTATTATTTATTTCTTTACTTATTTATATTTATTTAGGTGTTTTGAGACTGGGTTTTTCTGTGTGGTTTTGGCGGTCCAGGAACTCACTTTGTAGACCAGGCTTCTCCGGAACTCACAGAGATAGAGCCATGTCTGCTTCCCAAGTGCTGGGATTAGAGGCACGCACTACCACGTCCTTAACATTTTTTTTAAATTAGTTTTTGGACAACTTTATGGTCTTAAGCACCCAGAATGAAAGTATACTCAAATACTAAAGTGGTTGAGAATAGAAAACAGACGACAGACTGGGCTTTAAAGAAATACAAATGTGTTAGAAAGATAACTGAGTGAATAAAAGTTCATAGTGGTGACAGGCGGCCTGATTTCAGTTCACAGCACCCACACTGGGTGGCTCACAATCAATTGTAATTATTTCAGGGGATTCTGCTCCATAGGTAGCATACCTGAGTTCACGCATATATACACACACACACACACCCCACACACAAAGACACACAAGCACACATGCACCACAGAAGCACACATAAGTACACATGCATGACACAAACACACACTACACAAACACACAAACATACACACACACACAAACACACACACACCACACAAACACATATACACACATAAACATACCACATAAACACACACCACACAAACACACACAAGCACACACAGAAGCATACACATAAGCACACAAACATACACACACACCACACAAACACACAAGCACACATGCACCACACAAACACACACACAAACACACACTACACAAACACACAAACATACACTCACACAAACACACATGCACCACACAAATACACACACAAACACACATCACATACACACAAACACACACCACACAAACACACACCACACAAACATACACACACACTAACACATCACACACACACACCACACAAACACATAAATACACACACCATACAAACACACACCACACAAACATACAAACACACACACTAACACATCACACAAACACACACACCACACAAACACATAAATAATCACACCATACAAACACACACCACACAAACATACACACATTCACACAAACACACATACACCACACAAACACATACACACAAAGACACAAACACATACACACAACACACAAACACACACACCACACAAACACCCCCAAAGCCTTTCGAAAGCTATACGAGAACTCAGATCTTGTATAGTCCTTCCCACTACACTTTGAGTATGGGCTCCTGACATCCCAGGTGGCTTCCCATTGTCCTAGCCTTCAGCCTCGCTTCGCTCCTGCTTTTGGCATGACCTACTCAAATTGTTCTTTGTCTATTTCCCTGTCCAACCCCTAGACCTGCTGTCCATCCATCTGTTGCTTTATCTGGCCCTGGTCCTGCTCTTTTGCCTCTGCAGCCGGACTCAAGGCTGTACCACAGCAGTAGCTGTGTTTATCCACAGATCTCCAGCTGGGTCGTTATCTTACCCCTTAGAGACTTCATTTCTTTCCATTTCCCAGCTTCTTAGGCCTCTTTGAAACGTCTTTAACTCTTTGTAACCATTCTGTAGTGTGTGTGTGTGTGTGTGTGAGTGTGTGTGTGTGTTGGGAAGATAGCTCAGTGAATAAGCATTGGTATTGCTTATAGAAGACCTTACTTCAGTTCCCAGAGCCCACACTGAGTCACTCACAATCAACTGTAACTCTAGTTCCAGGGGATAGTATATAGTGTATGGTATATGATACAATTATACCTATATAAATACACGTGTATATGATACAATTATATCTATATAAATGTGTGTGTATATGTGAATGTCTATTTATGGCATGGTACAGAATATGTGATCTGACAGTTAATATTAGTAGTTAAGACTGAAATAGAAGAGCCTGTGTTTGCCTCAGCCAAGGTTATCAAGGAAAACAAGAGTATCTGACAAAATGTTGCCAACATAAATCGGAAGATACTGAAAGAGCTTACGATTGGGGTACCAGTGGGCACTGAGGTAGATTCTCCTTCTGAGTTAGGTATATATTAGCATAGTCATTAATGCTATAGGCAAGAGATTAGTTATTAGTGCTATATATAAGAGATTTATTAGAATAGTTAATAATGCCAAAGACGGACAGCATAGCAGGGCCTGTATAGCAGAGTGAGGTGAGTCCCTTACAGGTTTCAGAGGAAGGGAGGCTTCATGCCATATAGATGCTGAGTAGTCCATAGCACGCTCCCGTAGAGAGATCCCCAAGTGGTAAAGATGAGTGTGTGTGTCCTGAATTCTGCGGAAGGAAATGCTTGGCTCTGGCAATGTGGGGAGGAGAGGCACAGTTATTAAAAGGCCCCATTATATATATAGTGGGGGATGTGCTGCCGCTGGTAGCTCTTCTGATGTCTTCAAGTCTGGTGTTCTGTACGCATCCTTGGAAATGAGAATTATGGGACCCGCTCAGTTCCTGGAATCTGGGGACCCCGGGGAGTCTATTAGAGGCCTAGGGAGTCACAGACAGAAAGAGACTATGGCTGATTAGACCCTAGCCCCAAAGCTAACAGACAAGCATGCTCACCTATGTTTCTGGGCATTGTGTTCTTATAACTGTGCCTTTGAGCTTTTGTCTCAGGTTTACCCACAGTGAGCTTCCAGGAGGTCACTCATGGTGGTTCATGCCTCCTTGTCCCGGCCCCTGAACCCCTTACCAGGAAGCTGCCATTTTCTTTGATGCCTGTTCTTCCTGAGCCTCATTTCGTTGATGGGTCTGGAGGAACTATGATTTCTGATTACTCCACTCCTCACTTGTGTGGGATAGAGGGATGGCTCTGAGTTCTTATGTGACAGACTCGATGCCGTCAGTGAAGTTGCTTTTTGAATACATAAAATGTATAATACACCATTGTAATCACAAATAGCCCATTTGTAAAGGAAATGTATACTTTCAGCCAAATAAAATGCTGAAGAGCCCAAGTGCCAACCAGAAGCTCGTGGTCTAGCCAAACTCACCATGGGTGTTGGCCAAGAAGTGGAGAAGTGACCGGCGAGCATTGGGCAGGCAGTGATGGGCGAGCATTGCTGTCTCATAGCAAAGAGTCGTCCAGTGGCGAGTGCTCATGGACTGTTGAGAACCAACCCACAGTTCAGTCTGTGGTACTTGGGGGATGTTTGGGAGCTGGTGATGAAGGTTCAAATCTCACTTTGTTTTACGACATGTCTGGATACCAAAGGAACCCATCTGGCCTCTGATTGGGTA